GTTTAATCAACACACGAAATTCCTTTCTATCCATTGTCTTCAAAATTACGAAACTGGGGGTACTAAAATGACTGTAACTTCTAAACTATTGGTCAGAATACCCTGAAATTTTGACACGTACTGTTAGAAGGTTAGTATTATTCGAAAATAACGTGGGTCTGTCACCAGTATCGCCATATATGTGTCAGACCGGAGACTTATTGAGTGACGTGTTATAAAATTATTATTTCATAAATAGTTGAGGCTATATAATATCATTTGTTTTTAACATTTTCTAATATTCAAATAACAATATGCAGGTACTTCACGTGGGTTATCAAATCGACATTATGTGTCAGACAGTAACGGATATGCCTATCATAGATAAAGAACAATTAAGATTCTTCATTAAACGTCATCAGGATATCATAATATTTACAGAAAAGATCGAAAAATACTTTACGTATATCGCACTGAGTCAACTTTTCACGAATACACTGGTTACCTGTTGTTTGGGTGTTATGATCGTCATTGTAAGCATAAATGTTATTGTTATTGATCAGTTTAATTATGTAACAATAATTTAATTGTATAAACAATTTAATATTACAGGTGTTTACTACTGGTGGAGGAGCTATTTTAGTCATGAAATACCTTATGTTTTTCGTTAACATTTGGGTAGAAGCGTATATATATTGCTTTTCCGGAGAATACCTCAGCACCAAGGTTGTTAAATAATTTATTATATCAAAGAGTTTATTACTTTTAATGCATTTCTTACAAATTTACTTAATGAAAACTGTTAATTCAATATGTGTTACCTATTCAGATATTTAATTTTATTCAAACATTGTGTCAATTTAGTTCCCGTCTGTTTTTTGGAAATTTTATAATGTATTCTTCCTTTTTAACCAGTTAAGTGTGTTTGACGACTATGTCCGTCATGGAGATGTGGCAGAATTTTGTGTCATGACGACTATATCCGTCATGCGTAAAATTTTGCTACAATTTGATATAAAATTGTAATTTTGACGAGAACTAAATTATATTCGTAAATTTTAATATGTTTAAAATGTTTAGAGGTCAACACGAAATGAAATAAACAAATAAAAAGTGTAAGTAATTTGAGGTGGATTCATAAATTCTTGAGAGCTAACTCGTTATCGCTTGATTATCGCGACACACACTGGTGCGCAATTTGCAAAAAGATCGCCGCAGTTAACTGGTTAAAATATATCTTTCTGTTTTTAGAGTAAATTAATTTGTGAATCAGCGTATAGATGTCTTTGGTATGATTTACGTCGGAATGAGAGCCAGCTTTTAATAATTGTAATATTACGATCGCAAAAGGGGTTCAAGTTTACTTTTGGAAAATTTTCGAGTCTGTCTTTGGAAAATTTTACGAGTGTAAGTACTTTATATTTTGTTATTTGCATAGTTCGTGTATGCCTACATACAGACAGCTTTTTCGTAGATAGTATTATATTTAACAATGACGATAATATATTAACGATGATACATTTATTTATCAATACAATTTTCGAAGCATGAAATTTAATGAATTTGTTATATTAGTATTATCATAACATTTTCATAATTTAGTAATAATATTATCGTTATATTTGTAGATCTTAAAAGCATCGGGCTCATACATGTCCGTACTTCTCGCAATGTCTTAAAAATCAAAAACTGTGAACACTGAAGTATGATTTATTTAATCAGCCTCGAAGATGTTGGAAAATAATGAACGATTTCGTCTTTTAATAACGTTATAAAAAAAATTGCGAATGAAATTATTCCAGAATAATTTTTATATTATTCGAATAGTAAACTATTTTTTATCAGTAAAGTTCGTTTTATCCGTAAATCTCATTTGCAACTTATTCCAACAATTCTTTGCTCAAATAAAGAATTATTTGATATTCGTAAATATATCCAGTTATAACTGTAAAACCATATATATTTTATACACTATCACATCCATAACTTTTAAGACAAAGATCACAACTTACAATTGTACAAATAGTCAACAAAGGTAAAAAACATTTGCACATCAGATAATAAAATGATCATACAAAAAGTTTGAGCAAATTTTCTGCGGTGTATAATGCATTGAATGAACTATTATTTAATCTGAAGAACATACAGCTAGCGCTGGTGCCAGATTATTTTACCCCCATAGATTAAGCTAATTAAAATGCACCGTTTCTTACAAATTATCTACAATTTTTTATTACTTGAAATTATGACATGAAAAGAAGTAATAAAAATCGTTATATTTACTCTCAAATGCATTTATTATTAATTATATAAGAAATGGTTAAACTTCATCTTGGTACATCATTTTTTTTTTAACTTCTTTTACATAATCGATAGTATTCAATATAGTTGAATTATAATAATCTCGTACTTTGGAATTCCTTGATTCACAAAATATAATTCTGAATATCGAAATGCATTGGTTCATAAGTTATATGTTATTAAAGTTAATATTAAAATATTAAAGTTTGGTATTTTAAGCTTTAAGAGTTTATAGTTTTCTTTAATGTGATAATTATAACATACACTAAATATACCATTAGATCAGTATTATTTCGGCGATTGTTGAATACGTAAGGAAAAATAACAGATGGTTTGGGATTAATTAATTATTTATTAAAGAAAACGAAAATATACTACTCGTTATACACTGGCGACGACGATAATTAACAATAATAATTGACGATATACAATATAAACGATTACAATACATATTTACAATAATACAACAATTAAGCAATAATACAGTAATAGACAAATATTTAATAATATGCAATAATTGTGGAATAATCAATAATTGTCAAATAAAGAACGCAATATTTCAGAAACAATAATTGTGAAAATTGAAGAAAGAAAACGAAATTTGTATTGCTTTGTGTAACGATTCTGGAACCTAAGTTCAGATAGTTACTAGCGCTAAGAAGGTAAAGAGCGGCTTTTACCAATTAAACGACTCGTTTTGGAAAATAACTAAATCTAAAGATTGTGGGATTCGTGTGGTGTGCGGTTAAGGAGTGAAATCCACAGGCCAATATCTTTCAACAATAAGGGTTTATTCAATAAAATAACGAAGATGATGAATTTAACAAATAACAAGTAACAAATAACAAAATATGAAAAGTATACTGGTTTGATTAAAGAAATTAGAATAGACTTGATATAATATTAATAATAGGAATAACAGATCTTGGCAAATTAAGCAATACGTAATAGATAATTATGAATCTAACTAATAGTTTTTGATAATTAATAATATCGCAATTGTAAAATGTATTCCTATCCTTCTCTAAGCAACGCTAGAAATTCCAGGAAATTTGGGGCTAGCTTCGCGGCACGTAGGCACATCGCATTACGGAATTTTCCATATAGAATTATACATTTATTGGAGTAACTATAAAATAATACATTAATTTTGGTTTAAATGAATTAACTTAACATTTGATTGTCTTTGTAAATTACATTATCCTTTCTAAATTGAAAATATAAAATAATTATTGAAAATAAAATAAATATATATATGTATCAGTTACCGACCGCTGAACTGAATACATAAGGTAATTGGTATATAATGTACTGTCGGTAATAGTCTATTATTGTCGGTAACTAACTATTCTCACAGTGGGTAATGAAATTGAACATAGGACTGCCATATAAAAAAAAACTCTTCCCAGGATGTTACATTTGTATACAACGGGTTCGAGACGCGTAAGGACGGAACGATCTATGACCGAATCGAGCGGCGATTATGGAAAGAGTGATAACTGGTCCCCGCAGAGTCACGTGGTCCTTCCCCCACTCCGGATAATACAAACTCGAAAACCTGATAGCTTTACTCTCGGGTTAGCCTGAACGTCTCAGAAAATTATCGAAGTAATTTCCGTCCGTGGACCCTCACAACAAGAGATGCCTTGCATCTCCCTATCGGGGTTTAATGGAGGTCTCAGAGGGACGTTGTGAACGCCCTCCCTAACCACGGCTTGCTGGTCCCCGATTCGCACAAAGCGCTCCCGTGCTCGCAAAGAGATCGCCACCCAGTCCATCAATTAACAATAAACCATTAACAACTAATAATTTAAATGCCTGTCGTTTCGACTCGTTATTCCTCCATATCCTTCACAAGCGTCCCCACAACTCAAATCATTATATGTGTATAAACACGTAAGACGTTCTAAACAAATAACTAAATACCAAAATCGCAACAAACTTTATTCGAGCGTTCCTGTATTCAACAGCGATAAAATTATAAACATAAATATTAGCACAATCAAATCACAAATTCATTATCGTGAAAATGTCCTCTTCCTCTCAACCAATCTTGCAGACTGTATGGTTCCATTTTTTGAGTACGCGCACCTTCGCTAACATTTATTAAATTTCATTTAGTTAAAGTTTAATCGAAATTTGACCGTAATCTAACTGAAATTCAAAGTAAATTACACTTGCCTACGAACTCTACGGTGATTAACACTCTTATGTATATAGCCTTCTGCATTGAGCCCTGTGTAATTTATGAAATAGTTTGTGCGAACTTTACGACCGATATTAATGCGTTCCTTTGTAACCTCTGGTATATAGTAGATTCACGATTTTCGATTACAACCATACAGTTGCTTGTGTTAGTGTTGATCATCCTAACAATTAATGATATTTTTCTGACATTATTATGTTTTCTTTTACCAAATTTCGCTGTGTCGATGTAAAAATAAAAATTTTAAAATGTAGGACTTTTTCCATCAATGCAACCGTTACTGTAGGTTTTTTCCATAAGTAACCGTTACCATCGGTTTTTTTCTATAAAGGAAATAGTCTTTTATCGACGACGAGTTGCGATTTACAAAATTCTGAGAGTCAGTTATATTTTTCTGCTCCTGGAGGAAAAAGTCGCGGATAGCAGTACCGCTCGAAGTATTGTTCTCCTTTGTGTGTGTGTTTATTCTTAAATAAATTTTTAATTTTACCGTTAAGTATATTTTTGTTTCTCTCTTCACCATCATATCCTACAGAAATATTATCGGCACAATTGAGTATTTAGCCCAACTACAAATATTTTTCTATATTTAAAATATGTATCTGTATAAAGATTGATGAACCAAATTCTACCAGTAAATTTCGACACTCAAAATCGTTATATTTCGTTTATATTCAAAGAGTACTTTAATTATAAGAAAGATAAACAAGGCACCCCAAAACAAAGTTCAGCCCCTTAGGTGCTACTATACTTATGCTAAAAAGGGATTTTACTTCACATGTAATTTATTCATAACTTTAAATAAAATGCTATGGTTATTACATCTGCTGCACCATTCAATAAAGGTGGGTGAATATTTGCACCCCTTTATAGTTTCCACCCTAAACGGTTGCCCTATAAAATTGTCTAATATGATGAGGGCTTTTTTAATATGACGTTGAACTATTTTGTTGCTTTTTACGGAGATGTTTGATTACAAATCTTAACTTTGTATAAATTATGTGTGAAAATTATTATTGATCAGTATCTTCATTTGATACTGCAACTATCAAAGTGATCAAAATGGCCGTTTTAAGTTACATAAGTTTAAGTTAAAGTTTGTTTTTAATTTTACAAGTTTTAAGTTACACAGTTTAAGGTGGTTTTCTGATATCTGTGTTAATTTTCGTCAAGATACTGAATTAATGTGTACATTAATTTATGTTTTATCGTTCGTTTCAATTTTATTCTTAATTTTAAAGTAAGTGTGTGTTGTACGTTGGTAGGTTCAGCGTTAATCATCACTGGCCATCTCTATCCTTGCTCTTTTAGAACATGAATCATTTATAAGACTATTTTCAACCAAAATTTCCGTAAAACGAAACTGACACGCAATCATATTTATAATGTAACCTCGCTGTGTCACTTTAGAGTTTAAACAACGTTCTTATCTTTACGAAAATATAACATAACATTACCAAAATCAATCTTTGTATCTTCATTTTTAATCATTTATTATAGATGAAAAGGTCCATTAAACGTAAACTTAACATTTTTTTAAAATTATCTAGGAATGTAAGTTATAATGTACGCCTTTGTCGAAGAAAAAGAAAGTGTAGACATATTCAAGTATTCAATTTAGTTTATCAAAGTCTTGTGATCAGAGTGTAATTCGTGAAAATATAATGTGTAATTATACAATGCATAGTGATATAACTCGAGAGTATAATGCTTGACGATATAACGCGAGGCAGTACAATACGTTGCTACAAAACGCATAAATCATAATGCAATTCATGATTCAATAGCCAATAACTACTGCACTCCACCGAAAAAAAACACAATTAAATATTATATTATTCTTTAAATTACTAGTAATTCAGATGACACCTCAGTAAATCACCCCATATAAAGATTTATCTTTACTGAAACTTGATTTAAATTATTATTGGATACTTAAAGAACGTATCACTACTGTATAAACCATTTGAATTACATTACTGAAACACATTACCGAACTCCAATTAATCACCGAACTCTATTTCTACAGATATACACGTAGAACAAGTATTCACCGAAACGGACACTGTGCTTTCACAATCTTCTTTACAGAACCTGCTACTACCTTCATTATTTCGTTCTCCTAACACAAAATCAAACTACACACACATACTAAATCGAACAAAGTTTCACTACTTTCAATCTACTGAAGTATTAAATGACACTTAGGTATTCAAGCTTTAGTGCCCTAACGCATCGTTCCTGCTCGCGGTCTAAAACATTTTTGATTCCCGTGATTACCCACATGTCGCATGCACCGCATACCTTGTATTTTTAATGCAAATCATTGTCTTCTGCAACAAAGTTTTGATCACAATTGCAGTAATGCTTCGGTTACTATGTCCAAACCGTGGGTAGTTGCATTATTATTTGCAACATTTATGTGGACAACACGAACGGCGATGTGGACGGCACCTGTTATGCAATTGCTATAAGCTTGTGCCTCGTGAAATAATTTTTTCCAAGTTTCAGTTTATCGTAGATCATTGTCCAGGCACATTGGTCGTCCTGGAACTGATGGTGACAGTTGTGATACCAGTGCAAGATAAATGAAAGGTTCGTGTTTATCGCAATCGAGTAAGCTGTAAAAGAAGATTTGAAAGGATACATGATTGATTATTACGTAAAATGAAGACGCTAAGTACTCTTAGCCCCACTGTTAAGTATGGTCTTCACTGCATCGGTATCTGGCCAGGAATATCGTTTCCTATGCTGTATAAATTTTATTGGATAGTGTCTACGATTATATTTCAAGGCTTTCAATACAGTTATATCATCCAGCATTTCAAATCACAGAGCTTTGTGGAATTGGTTGATAATTTGAGTATCGGTGTTGCGATCACTCAGACTAATATCAATGTGCTTGTTTCTTGGATAAATCATAGGTGAGTTTCGATCACAGTATAATTATATGGAAAATGTACGAATAGCATTACTTATTAGTATTATTTTATACAATATCATTATGTACAGTATTTTTTCAGTATTAATAATTATAAGAATAGTGAATAATAATACAGATTTGAAAATGAAATGAATTAAATAAAATTCGAATTTACAAACTCTAATTATAAAAAATGCAAACAATTGATTTTGTTTTACAATTATATCTTAACGTCATAATTAGGAAACAGATATTTATGTGTTTATGATATGTTATAGTATAACATATTATTATAACATATAGTATAACATATAATAAATGCATAAATATCTGCAACCTGATCATAATAGACTATAAACTCTATTTATAACATGTTAAGTAATTCACGCAAAAATTTGTTAGAGATACTGATATTATTATAAACAATATTTTATAGAATCCTCTGTGATATGTTATCAACAATAGAAGAAGAATGTAAGAAGTATGCTTTTATCGACAAGACTGGTTTGATATTAAAAACAATTCATGTTTCTTACCGTTTAACAACTTCAATTATTGTTCTCTACGTGATGGTGGCAATTATTCACATTATTGGTAATGCAACATCTGCACACAGTAATGAAACATATTCTTTGATCTTAAAAATGGACTTGCCCTTTGAAATCAACAAATCGCCTAATTATGAGCTCGTGTTAACTGCACAAATATTTCATCAAACATATACTGCTTTTACATTTAGCGTCTATAGTGCTCTCATCCTAATGGTGGTAAGTGCCAAGGACAAATTTTCATTTGACAATTATTTCAATTACAATAATTACACTTTCTGAATAAATGTTTCAAATATTTCAATAGATAATTTTATATCATTATTCAACAATAATTATAACTATTCAAATAACAATTCCATTAAATAATAAATGTTGGATTATATGTATAATGCTAAATTACTTGAGTATAAACACTATTTATTTAATACTTTAACTACAAAAAAAATCTACAGTATTTAATTGAAAGATTGAATAATTTTAAGTTGAATTAATATTATATTAATAATAGTCAGTTGCAAATTTAAATTAAGCAAATTAGCATGTAGTAAAGTTATGCTAAAAAGTAAAACGGTTGTATTTTGAATAACAAATCTGAGAGTATTGCGTGACTTACTACACACGGCCATTTTTATTATGGCAGACAACACCGTTGTGTTCTCTGTGTACATATATTAACCCAAAGCGGTCACGTTGGGGTGAAAATTACCCCACCGGTTTTTATAACACTGTCACATAAATATGGATTAGTTGAAAGCTTTTCTTCTCTTCAGCATCTCTGAGGAACATCCGTTATTCCATATATTGATAATATTTTTAGTTATCTATTCTAATACGTTTACTATATTATGTTCAGCAGCATTTTATTATTTTTTATTAATAATTTGTTATTTTTGTATTATTTTCTATTTTTATTATTTATTATTTTTGTAATATTTTGTGTCATTTTTGTGTTGAACTTCAATGTGTTTTATTATTATTTTCTGTTTACATTTTTTACTATTAATTTCGTACTTTATTATTATTATTTTTAGTTTTTATTATTTATTATGTACTATTTAGTACTATTTAGTTTCTTTTGTTATAAGGTTACTGAGCTTCATATGCTTTATTATTACTTTTTGTTTATATTTTTATTATTAATTTCTTATTTTACTATTACTGTTACTTTCCGTTTTTATCATTTATTATTGTATTATTTAATATTTTATGTAATTAAAATTTTGAGTATCATATATTTTCTTATTTTCTGCCCTCATTTTTTTATTTATTTATTATTTTGTTATTATTATCGATATTTGCTGTTTTTATCATTTATCACTTTATTATACTTTTAATTTTAATATTTAGTATTTAATCTTAACATTTTGTTTATTTCTAATACTCAGTTGTTTACTAGTTTTGTTTTTAATACTAATTTATTATTTCTTAGTCTTAATAATTTTAGTTATGACAATAATAACATAAACTACTCTAACACTACTTACTGGCACTTATATACGAAAAATAAGTTTTATAATATTCTATAAATGTTACTGAACTAGTTTTTATAACATCACTTTATTAGGATAAAATAATGAAAATAATTACGAAATATTTAAAATTTTATTGATTTCATTCCACACGAGTATAAAATCTCAATTTTATTTACGTTTAAAATTTTAATTTTACAAACTCTGTAAAATTGACTAAAATTACAATTCAAAGTATCGTTTGTTTATAACATTCTACTAATAAAATTACGATCTGCAGGTACTTCACGTGGGTTGTCAAATAGATATTCTGTGTCAAACAATAATTGATGTTCCTCTCAGAGACAAGAAACAATTAGAATTCTTTATCAGCCGTCATCAGGATATCATCGTATTTACAGAAAAAATTGAACAGTTCTTTACTTACATGGCACTTAGCCAACTCTTATCAAATATTCTGATTACTTGCTGTCTAGGATTTCTCATCATAATGGTAAGCACAAATATGTTTCTCATTAATTAGAATTGTTTTATAAATAGTTTGATATTACAGTCGATAAGTGGCGATGCAGAACTTTCTGTATTCTTCAAATCTGTTTCGTTCTACATTGCTCTTTGGATAGAAGCATACGTATATTGTTTCGCTGGAGAATACCTCAATACCAAGGTTGTTAAATAACATATTAAATAAATTTATTTATAATTACACCGATTCGTTTAAAAATGACTATACATTTTTTATTATACAAGTGGTTTCTTTTACGTAATCTTTTCACAATATTTATTTCGTATTTTAATACTCTTTTATACTTTTTGATGTTAAATAACATATTATGTAAATTAATTAATTTATAATTACGCCAGCTCGTTTCATAAATTGCTGCACATCTTTTATTCTACGAATAGTTTTTTTTACATAATCTTTCTACGATATTTACTTTATATATTAATCAATATTTTAATACATTTTCATACTTATTAAGAAACTTGTATAAAGTTTAACATTTGATTTAAATTTAATTTAAAAATTGGGTCGGTAAGTTTTAACAAGCTAGATCTTGGAACAACAGCCATCTTGTGCTAACTACGAGTCTTATCAAGATGGTCGTCTTTTTGAAACGAGTACAGTTACTTTTGCGGAATCGAGCGTGTTACAAAGCTTTGAATAATTATTAACGCGATTTTTGTTAACATCATTTTTATCTATACCAACCCTTCGTTGCATTATGTCGCAAATACGCTAAATAAACAAACAAATAAAAGAATAAATAAGCAATATGAAAATCTTATATTTTGTAAAACATAAATAAGTTGCAGATATCATAAATAATAAAATTGCTGACAACTTTTGCTTTTTCACAACGTTGCAATTTATAGTTTTTCATAAATATAAATTTTGTTTGTATAAGAGTATTTGTCTACTGTCATTTATGTTTCTTTATTTATTACAATACAATTATTTTTACTCGGAAGAATTCAATACATATATTTTTCTTTTAAAAAATTAAGCAACAAAGGGTTAATATGTATTAATTTGGTTCTCATTTTTATAGGCATTTTGTATACTGTACTTTATTTTTTATTTTTAGAGTAAGCTGATTTGCGAAACGGCGTACAAATGTCTTTGGTATAATTTATATCCAAGCGAGAGTAAACTTTTAATAATTGTGATACTAAGAGCTCAAAAAGGATTTACGCTTACTTTCGGAAAATTTTCGAACCTGTCTCTGGAAAATTTTACAGAAGTAAGTTTTCTTTTTCCACGTAATTCTCTGCGTTATTTACACCTATATAGTTCTCTTTAATCCATAACACGGTTTTCAAAGCACAAAGCTTGAGAAGCTGTATCAATGTCATCATAAGTTGCTTGTAGTTAATTTTGTAATTACAATTAATTTTATAATATGTAATTAATGTTTAAATACATATATAATTAATGCTGCTAATATACACGTAGTTAATGTTGTTAATAATATTATCGTTATGTTTGTAGATCTTGAAAGCTTCAGCATCATATATGTCGGTACTGCTTGCAATGTCTTAACAGTATTAACTGTGACTTAATTATCTGTGCACTCGGTTTTAATTATTAGGTAGGTGCCAAAAAAATTCACTCGACTTTCGGACGTTAAAAATAATTTTAATCGAATTTTAGGTACATAACCTTAAAATAAAACAAAGTTTTTTTACCAACAAATGAATAATTCTTTCTTTATTAACCTTCGGATAATTTTTTACACTATTCAAACAAGTTTTTATCGAAATAATACCTTATTCATTATCCGAACATATTGAAAGTAAGTTTGATAATTTTATTTTTATACACGCATTTATGCATTTAGATATGTATAAATCTACATTATTATTTGAAAATGTAACTATAAAAATAGGCGATGTACCAAATGATGAATCTTTAAAAAAGATTCAACAAACTTTCTAAGATATTTAATAAATTAATCAAATTGTTATTCAATAATAAATTGTTGCAATATGGAAGAAATGTATCTCTGTAATAAAAATAACGTGTACGTATACATTGACAAATATACAGTTATATTTATCTACAATCGATGATATTGTAATCAACATATTTAACCAGTTAAGTGTGTTTGATGACTATGTCCGTCATGGAGATGTGGCAGAATTTTGTGTCATGACGACTATATCCGTCATGCGTAAAATTTTGTTACAATTTGATATTCAAATTGTAATTTTGGCAAAAACTAAATTATATTCATAAATTGTAATATGTTTAAAATGTTTAGAGGTCAACACGAAATGAAATAAACAAATAAAATGTGTAAATGATTTGAGATGGATTCATAAATTCGTGGGAGCTAACTCGTCATCGCTTGATTATCGCGACACCCACTAGTGTGCGCTTTGCAAAAAGATTGCCACAGTTAACTGGTTAAAAATGTTTGTTATCTTCCTTGCTTTAATATTACTTGCTACATATTTTGCATAATTTGTTATACCATTATTACATAAATATTTGCAGTCTATAATGAATTCTAATTAGATGCATATTAGCTACATTAATTATTATGTGTACTGGACGAAAGTATTAACACAGGCCATATTTTAGCGTGGAATTGCTTATAAATTCAGAACAAAATAACCTCACTTTATATGATCTTTTCGTGGAACATAATATGGAGTTTACCAATTAAATATACAGTAAACCATGAATATAAAATGGCTGTGTAATTGCAAAGAAAAAAATGGAAATGTACAGGGTAAATATACTCTTTTTCTTCGTATGTATGTATATGTATACAAATTTCATTGGGACGAAATTATTAGTATGTTTTAGACAAGTTTTTATTATAAAATTTTCTATTAAATATGTACAATATCATTTTGTCTGAAATTTACTAATTTCCAAATTCCTAAATTTTCACATTCTCAAATTCCAAATTCTCAAATTCCAAATTCTCAAATTTCAAATTCTCAAATTCCAAATTCACAAATTCCAAATTCTCAAATTCCAAATTCTCAAATTCCAAATTCCAAATTCCAAATTCCAAATTCTCAAATTCCAAATTCTCAAATTCCAAATTCTCAAATTCCAAATTCTCAAATTCCAAATTCTCAAATTCCAAATTCCCAAATTTCCACATTCTCAAATTCCAAATTCTCAAATTCTAAATTCTCAAATTCTCAAATTCCAAATTCTCAAATTCCAAATTCTCAAATTTCTAAATTTTCAACTTTATAAATTTACTAATTTCCAAATTCCCAAATTTCCACATTCTCAAATTTCCAAATTCTTAAATTTCTACATTTTCAAATTTGTTAACTTTTAAATTTCCAAATACTCAAATTTCCATGTTCTCAAATTTCTAAATTCTCCATTTTCCAAATTCACAAATTTCTCAATTTATAAAATTAATAATCTTCCCAAATCTTCAAATTTCCAAATTTCAATACTCTTTTTTACTTCAATATTTCAAAACATCTTTAAAACAAAAAGTACACCTAGAAAGTACCTTAGCAATTTTGTCAGTTTTTGAATAACAAAAGTTTTGTAAGCGACTCCACCTTAGTATGCAAAAGGTTAGGTAACATTATTCGTTCTCTGCCCTAAAAATTGTAATTATGCCAATGCCTTTGTCCCTCTGAAAACTTGCTCACAATACTCTTTTGTAATAGTACACGTTTTATATTCATAGCTTGTAATACGTTTAATTTACAGATTTCAAGCTACATTTTAGGAAAAACTGAGATAAACCGTGCTATGTACCAAATTGCACACGATTTCATACTGAAACATTGCCTGTGCTAATAATTTGTCCAGCAATGTATATGATCACAAACATGTACTCCAGTAATAGCCTCCGAGGCAATCTGTTGGAATAACGTAACAATTATAATACATTGCAATTCAAATAAACCTGTGCCTTCGGTACATGCGTGGATGTAATATGTTGTTTTCAGGTTATGTTCTATCATAAAGCTTTACAAACATTAACTTTTTACTGCATTTTGTTAGCACACCCAGTTTTGAAAGTGGTTTTGTTGTGTAGTTAAATTATCGGAGCATACAAGTCGCTTTAAAGTTTATATTTGTACAAAGTGCATGAAATTATAGATCGTAGGTAGAATTCATATAGTTTTCGAATTTGGGACTTTGTTGTAATTCAACGTGTACCATATTTTGGCCCAGAAAAAATTATAGATGAAATAAATTAAAATAAGACTGCACATAATTTTTGAACTTGGGGCTGCATTTTGTTATAACTGAACTTGTACCATCTTTTAGTCCAGAAAGAATTATAGATGAAATAAATTAGAACAATAATTCACATAGTTTTTGAATTTGGGATTGCATTTTGTTATAACTCAACGTGTACCATATTTTGACCCAGAAAAAATTATAGATGAAATAAATCGGAACAAGACTGCACATAATTTTCGAACGTGGGGCTGCATTTTGATATAACTGAACCTGTACCATATTTAGGTACAAATAGAATTATAGATGAAATACGTCAGAACAAGAATCCTCATAATTTTTAATTTGGAATTGCATTTTCTTGTAATTTAGTGTGTGCTATCTTTTGCTCCAGAAACAATTCGCAATAAATATTTTTGAAAATTAAAAATAATGGAGATATAGACCTTTTATTTTTGAGGATATTCTTTTTCTAAAATGCAATTATCTTCAAATGTAGTCAATATAATTTCATGAAATTTAAATATAAATCAATTTTAATGAAGTACATTGTATATACCAACCCCTTATATTTTCAGTTATCTACGTTTTATTGTAAGAAATTATAATCAGTTAAATATTAATACAGTTAAGTTAAGTACTAATTATGTGTACAAATACTAATACTGTCTATAAAGTACATTGTACAAAATAAAATTAATGTATTAGCTTCGAAATTATTTCTCTTGGCACAAACTAATGAAAATAAAGGGGGTTTATATTTGTGTAATGCTTCTGTTACAATAGTAACAGAGTATATTTCAATAATTGGAAACATTGAAAAAAACAAACGTTCCGATGTTTCTTTGATAAATGAAACTGATAAAATGCAATTCAATTTCATTTTACATTTTTTTATTAGAGCAAGGTTTGAACGTGCTTTATAAACCCTGTAAGCTTTATAGCGGAACAGCCGGTGGTTTACGAGAAAAACATAAAACGAACGTCCTGTATGACGAATTGTCGTGTCGCACAGTGAGTGAAATTGAGCAATGTTGTTCAAAATACTCTGTAGCCGTTATCCCTTAGTAGCTGGTACCGCAGGGTGACTCATGTTGTGCGAATTGAAAACATCGTGCACGCTATTTAGCAACTTTTTCACAAACCTTTAAACGGAAAAGGTTAAATCCATATTTTTTATTCGTGTGATAACTGCTCTTAATGTAGAACATTTGATGTTCAAAGTTTGCTAAGAATAGAAACATGTTTCTTTTTGTACAAAATTATCGTTGAAATGTTAGAGTTACTAATTACTTGTATGTTAATGGTTAACTAATAATTAGATAATAACTAATAATAATGGTTAGGTAATAAATAGAATTTAAAATTACAGTAAAACGTAAGTTTGTAGTAAAAACGTGTCTTAGAATTGTAATAAAAAAGACGTATAAAATATCAAAAGTACTAAGCTTAAAGATGGTGCCCAATATAAATCACGTAGTAAAGTAAAAAAGCTGAGAAAACCTCATTTCCAAAAATAAGTATTTATGTAACTAAGAAAGACAAATTTGTACATATTCAGTTTAAATGCTAAACTCTTCAGGTATGAATTTTTAATTTCACTTATAACGAAGAAAGTTAATATTATTTTACTTTATTTTTGTTCGATAAAGAAAATTTGATGTAAAAATTAAAGTTCACGAGCATAATTTCAAAATAGAACTATAAATAGAATATGTAGACGTTTACTGTTTAGGCAAAATCCAATATAATTTTTTTGGAATCGTCAGTAAACACCACTAACAGTATTGCGAATGTATTTTTAGATCTAACAGTTGCTTTTATTACCTAGGAGTCGTAATACTTCAGTAAAATTACGATTTACTCCGTACAGGGAAAAGAACAGTTGCTGCTGTTCTTTCGGCTATACATGTATAAAAACACTTTTACTTCCATTTTATTTCCCTTGTGGCAATTGGGATTTATTTTCTGATTGGAAAAAATTTAGGGAAGCTTGCACATTCAGCCTTGTAACGGTTTCGGAAACTCATAAAGCTTTATATGTGTAACTTGTGTGTGGATGTATAATTGTCCACATATGTAACTATGAGTTACATATAATAAACAATTAACCACTTTTTAATTTTATATAAAACTAATTTTTATGTATAATAAAATAATGTATGAAATATTTTTATACATTTAACATAAAATACTGAAATTTATTCTGTTATAGCATCATTTTTCTGTTCTATCCAAACTTCAAATTATCAGTGTTCATACATCATGTGGCTATAGTCTACATTTTTTGCACCTAATTTGTATCTCTGCACGAGAGTATCGGGTAAATGAAACGGAATAAAATGAAAACATTTAAATAATATTGA